GCTCCGTTGAATCGTCGATCTCGCTTATCGCCTGTGATTTACACGCGGGTTAACGGCGACGGCGGCGAGGCACCGCGAACACTTAGGTGACTCCATATTGCGCGCTCCGATCAGGTCGATTGGGCCGAGATCGTTGAGCTCCTGGTTACCTGAGGGACACCTGGTTATCTGAAGGACTCCTGGTAAAGGACCCCTGGTTACGAGGGCCCCTGGTTAGCTCAGGGGCCCCTGGTTACCCGAGGGGTCTCTGGTTACCTAAGGGACCCGTAGTTATCTGAGGGGCCCCTAGATACCCAAGGGGCCCCTGATCCCCTGGATGGCCCCTGGCCAGTCATCTGAAGAAGCCCTGGTCACCTGAGGGGCCCATGTTTATCCGGGGAGTACCTGGTTATCTGAAGGGCCTCTGCAGTCACATGAAGGTCCTTAGTTGACCGAGGAGCCCCTGGTATAAACGGCCCCTGATTATCAGAGAGTCCCCTGGTCACGGTAACCTGGTGGGCCCCTGATCAATTGAAAAGCCCCTGCAATCACTTGAGAGGCCCCTGATTACCTAAAGGGCCCCTGATCACTTGGATTTAATGGCATAGCTAGGAGGCGAGGGGCACGCGTCCGTTATATGGTTTAGGGTCCCCTTGGGCCCGAGGGGCCCTACGGTGCCAATTGACATCAGAGGGTCCGCGCTGGCCACGCTTCAACTGGAAAGGAGTGAAAGGACACCACGGGGCTTTTGAGAACACGTCATGGGCTCTTATGTAGCCACACTTATCTCCAGAAGGGCCCCACCCCAGGTTCTGAAGGACCTCGCCGGCCTCTGAGGGCCCTTGAAGGCTTATGAGGATCAGCTGTAAGGGCCCCACACTTGTTTGTTATGCCCCCACGGCCCACACCAGTGTTTCTGAGGGCCCTCACAATGGCGCCTGGAAGGGCTTGAAGCGAGTCAGTGGGCTGTAGCACCATTCATACTGCTTATCTCGACCCCTTAAAACTCGAAAAAGTACTATAAAGTCGGCCTCTAAGTCAACACCATGGCGTGATTCGAACCCGTCCCCTTTGGATTTGAAGTGAGTCATTGCGCTGTAGCTCCATTCATAATGCTTATCTCGACCCCTAAAACTCGAAAAAGTACGATAATGTCGGCCACTAAGTCAACGCCATGGTGGGATTCGATCCCGTGACCTTCGCATTTGCAATGAGTCAGTGGGCTGTAGCACCATTCATGCTGCTGAACTCGACCCCTAAAACTCGGAAAAAGTACGATAAAGTCGATCACTGAGCCAACGCCATGGTGGGATTCGAACCGCTGACCTTTGCATTTGAAGTGAGTCAGTGGGCTGTAACACCATTCATGCCGCTGAACTCGACCCCCTAAAACTCGAAAAAGTACGATAAAGTCGGCCACTAAGTCAACGCCATGGTGGGATTCGATCCCGTGACCTTCGCATTTGAAGTGAGTCAGTGGGCTGTAACACCATTCATGCCGCTGAACTCGACCCCCTAAAACTCGAAAAAGTACGATAAAGTCGGCCACTAAGTCAACGCCATGGTGGGATTCGATCCCGTGACCTTCGTATTTGCAATGAGTCAGTGGGCTGTAGCACCATTCATGCTGCTGAACTCGACCCCTAAAACTCGGAAAAAGTACGATAAAGTCGATCACTGAGCCAACGCCATGGTGGGATTCGAACCGCTGACCTTTGCATTTGAAGTGAGTCAGTGGGCTGTAACACCATTCATGCCGCTGAACTCGACCCCCTAAAACTCGAAAAAGTACGATAAAGTCGGCCACTAAGTCAACGCCATGGTGGGATTCGATCCCGTGACCTTCGTATTTGCAATGAGTCAGTGGGCTGTAGCACCATTCATGCTGCTGAACTCGACCCCTAAAACTCGGAAAAAGTACGATAAAGTCGATCACTGAGCCAACGCCATGGTGGGATTCGAACCGCTGACCTTTGCATTTGCAATGAGTCAGTGGGCTGTAGCACCATTCATGCTGCTGAACTCGACCCCTAAAACTCGGAAAAAGTACGATAAAGTCGATCACTGAGCCAACGCCATGGTGGGATTCGAACCGCTGACCTTTGCATTTGAAGTGAGTCAGTGGGCTGTAACACCATTCATGCCGCTGAACTCCACCCCTAAAACTCGGAAAAAGTACGATAAAGTCGATCACTGAGCCAACGCCATGGTGGGATTCGAACCGCTGACCTTTGCATTTGCAATGAGTCAGTGGGCTGTAGCACCATTCATGCTGCTGAACTCGACCCCTAAAACTCGAAAAAGTACGATAAAGTCGGCCACTAAGTCAGCGCCATGGTGGGATTCGAACCCGTGACCTTCGCATTTGCAGTGAGTCAGTGAGCTGTTGTAGCTGCACCTGTGGCTGCACCCTCCGTGGCATTTTCCGACCGGCTGTGCTCCCCTAGATTTCGTACCTGAAGCCGCCCCTGCGTGCTGCGAGGTTAAAATCACTAGCCCTAGAGACCTTCTAGAGACTTTTCAGCGGTGACTTGAGTGGCAACCCTTCGTGTGACGTCTGCTCTACCAATGCCCCTACAACCTACAACCTACAAACCTACCAACAGCGTCACAATTGTCCACTCGGACCTAATATATACTAATACCCATATAATACCTTACCTTATACCTTACCTTATCGGTTATCGGGTAATAAGGCCACTAGGCCTGGAGGTCCCGCTCCCATCGAGCGTGTGTGACAGGTAAAGGCGAGGCTCTTAATGGTAGGGATTCGGGATGTCGTACATCTTGTTCGCCCAGTGTCGGTCCAGTCGTGCCTTGAACTGAGCAACCGATGTGGCAGACACTACTGTGGACGGCAGGGCGTTCCAGTCGTTGACGACTCTTGTGCTGAGGGCGTTTCTTCGTGTCAGGGTGTTCGCTCTGGGCTTGAGCAGTTTCCACTGGTGGCCTCTTGTTTGGTTGGAGGTGCTCTTGTGCAGGAACCGTTCGGGTTCCACTGCCATCTCGCCGTGCAGCAGCTGAAAGACGGTGATCATATCGCCTCTGCGTCGTCGGTAGTACAGCGAGGGGAGGCGAAGATGACGTAGTCGGTCCGGGTACGGGAGATGCCGGATGCTCAGAACCATCCGGGTTGCCCTGCGCTGCACCCGCTCCAGTTTTGCCTGGTCAACTCTGCCAAAGGGTCCCCAGATCAGGTTCCCATACTCCAGAAAAGGTCGGACCATGGATTTGTAGAGCAGAGGGAGAGTGACCTCATTGATGGTAGCGAAGGAGCGCTTCACGACAGCCAGCATCTGGGAGGCTTTCGCGATGGCAGCCGCTGTTTGCTGGTGAAACTTCAGGTCTTCGTCGATGATGATGCCCAGGTCCTTATCCTCCGTAACTCCCTCGATGGCAGAGTCGTTCAGGCGGTAGGTTCTCCCAGGGTTGAGTCTGCCAATGTGCATCACTTTGCATTTTGAAGCATTGAAGGGCAGCAGCCACTTGCTCGACCAGCGGACGAGGGCGTCGATGTCGGCTTGGAACTCGGCGGAGTTTCCAGTCACGTGGCGGTACAATTTGGTATCGTCGGCGAAGAGCTTGATGCAGCCGGAGACCTGACCAGGCATGTCATTCACAAATATATTAAACAAGATCGGCCCGAGCACAGATCCCTGGGGGATTCCGCTGGTCACCGGAGTCCAGTCGGACTTCGCACCTCCGACGACCACCCTCTGTCGGCGATCGAGCAGGAAGGCGGCGATCCAAACTAGCAGTTTTCCCCTGATGCCATAGCCATGTAGCTTCGTGATGAGACGTTGGTGCGGGACAGAATCAAAGGCCTTGGAGAAGTCCAGGTATGCGACATCGATCGGTTCCCCGGCCTCCACAGCAGCGCTCCAGTCCTCCATCACCTCAAGCAGCTGGGTCGAGCAGGATCTCTTCGGGAGAAACCCATGTTGTGCCTTGTGGAGGAGCCCTGCATCAGAAAAGTGCTGAAGGAGGCGGTCGCGAATGATGGATTCCATAACTTTCGATGGGACCGAGGTGAGACTGACTGGCCGGTAGCTCTCTGGTCTCTGGCGGTTCCCCTTCTTGTACATAAAATACATAAAGATAGCGCTCAAGACTCAAGTTCTTGTTCATGTTAATACTTGATGGAACTCAAACCGAAATGGCTTGAAATAGTTCACTTTTTAACATGGGTTTTGAACTGGAATAGCAGTTCCGTAGCTTAGGCTGAGACGAGCATAAATCAGGAGCTTTTACAGCCCAACGATCACCCTAGGCAAAGATATTCTATTTCTCGTCCCGAAAAAGGTGTCTTGCGTTGAGGATGTGTGCCTTGCATATATTTCCATCCAGTATGAAAAGAGCATGGGTCCCGAAAATTCTTCAGAAACTAGAGAGATTATCTACGAGAACTCTAGAGAAATTCTCGTACTGATCAATTAGGACATTCAGGGGAACATTATCAGATCGAGCAGATCGCCCAAATGCCGGTGGCTGCGATAATTTCTCTGTTTCTGAAGAATTTTCGGGACCCATGCTCTTTTTCATACTGGATCGCGTGTGCCTTACAGAAACTGAAAAGTTCTTCCTATATCAAAATATAGAAAAAAAATCTTTTGTTATAAAAAGGTTTTATTTTCTTTGCTGATTATTTTGAACATAAAAAATCATAAATCGTTGCAAAAAAAAATAATTTCGTGAAAGTGAACTATTTCCTTTAATGACTTATTTTGCTCTTAGATTTTATCTACGATGGTTAAGACCAATCATGAAGTGATAATTGATAAAACACGTGTTTTTAAGGCCTGGCTACACTATGAGTTTTCTGTGTGTGTTTTTGTGGGTTCAGGTTGGCGTTTTCGGGTTTTTTGCATAATATTGTTCTAGAAAGTTATAAATAATAAAACTTTAACATTAGCGATATAAAAAGTTAATATGACTTATATTACCTAAATTTAACGTAAAGAAAATCACAAAAATGTAATATCGTTTTTTTTCTAGAACTATATTACGCAAAACACGCAGACCTGCAAAAACTCACGCAGAAAACGCATAGCGTAGCCAGGCCTTTGAACCGGGACGGGTGGCCTGTATGACCCAGGCCTTTACTTTTCAAAGCATTTTGTTCTTTCCACCCAGTCTGTGAAGTAAAAGTGATATTTTATTGGTGAGCTGACAAATTATGAGGTTAGCAAGTTATCGTGTGCAATATCAATATATAGTGGGATGGAAACATGCTGGCGCGCGACTTATCAGAGAATGGTGATTGTGCCTCCATACAATTACAATACCTGGAGTACCATATTTTTTATAGATGAAAAATAGTTAACCGCGCTGAGGCCTGTTTTACCAGCTGATAAATTGCTGGCTGTGCTTGTGGTCATTTTTGCCTGAAGGCCAGACTGGGAAAATATGTGCATTATGCTTGATGCTTTGGGGGCAATAATGCGCAGAAATTTGGTGCAAATTTCAAGCTTTGCTGAATCACGTCGGACGCTGCTTTGCAATTTCGGCGCAAACGCCCATTGTGCTGAATGACGGACATGTCAACAGTAACATATATTTTTCCAATCTGGCCTAAAGGCACCACTGAATGATGAACCACGACAGCAGCATAAAAGAATAGCTGCTGATGTTAAAAATAATATAAGCCAGCATAACTGGTGTATTACATCGTAGTGCAATACGTGCAGACCAAGGAGCCAGTGCCATTAGCTCATGCTTCAAATAGGTATCTCAAATCGTGAAACTATCGCTGTAGGTTTCATGAAGCCCAATGGTCAAAGTTTTACCATGTATCCACTTTCCAGCAACAATGGCCCACCAGCTGTACAGGAACACTACGATTGGGCACTGTCTTCAGGAGAGTCTCGATGAGCTTATGCAGGTATGACATCTGTGGCTAACAGCATTAGAGGTGTGGCTACTGGAGGACAGCTGTGTTTTAACTTGTTCGAAATATTTGAGTCTTGATGTTAGTTGCCTCTTTTTTTTTTAACTACGTGTTTAATCAGAATGAACAAATTGCAGGAGAACTGTAGGAATCCGCCGGTGACAAGCTAGTTGTTTTTTTTTTTTTTATTGACAAGTGTCCTGTGTCTTCAGTACGACCAGCTTCCGCCGGCGCTGGCGATGAAGGTCCTACTGCAGTTTGACAAGGCCATCAGTGCCGCGCTGGCAAATCGGGTCAAATCTCGACTCTCCTTCAAGGTAAGTTTGTTCACCACGCATGCACTATTTTGCCCACATCAAGATTCTTACAGATAGCCCAGACCGCCCAGACCTTCTATTGCAAGTCGTGCAAGAGCCTTTCCTGTCTCTGGTTGATAAGTCTCTTACTAGAAACCAGTGCTGCGGAGCTGATGGATTCCCGGTGACTCCTACTCCGACTCCGATTCTGGCTTTCAAAAACCAACTCCGACTCCGGACAGAACTGTCGACTCCGACCGACTCCAACTCCGACTCCTACTCCGCACACCTGGCAGGGCTGGGCTGCGGATTCAAATTTTCGGTGACTCCGACTCCGACTCCGTCTCCGGTTTCCAAAACCGATTCCGTCTCCGACTCTGGTCAGAACTATCGACTCCGACCGACTCCGACTCCGCAGCCATGCTAGAAACTATTTTCTACATAACTTTCGTGTGACATCTTGTATACATCCCAACTATTGCGTATGAGGACTCACATATCACGGTTCGGGAGGAGGCTCCCAGTCATAAGAGAACATAGGCAACTATGGGGGGGGAGGGGAGAGACTGTTGACATTTACCCGTAGTTTTTTTTTTTCGATAAAAGAAAGCCCATCGCAATGTTTCACAAATGATGCTGGTTGGGTGGAAGCTAACAAAAGTATCGATTAATACCAAATGGGAAATTGAAACAAGGCCAACTGAGTAAACTGACAGCTATTGTGACAAAAGACACTTGATACTTCCTTTTATTATTTTATCAGGCGGGCAAGCTGAACACATACCGTTTCTGTGACAACGTTTGGACTCTTTTGCTGACGGGCGTGGAGTTCAAAGAAGTGCAAGATGTCGCCAAAGCTGACCGTATGAAAATTGTGGCCATGGATGGCCGAGGTAAGCATTGTGAAACCACCGACATGTTAGGTAGTGGCCCACCCTATTTTCATAACCTGTTTTTGAAGTTTTGATTATTTTTATAGTGATTGTCTCGGTGTTAACACTTACCCCAAGTGATAGCCTCTTGTATATGTCAAATATGTTGGAATTGATCATGTTTTTGGTTACAAGTAAATGGGTTGTCAATAGTGGATTATGCAATTATGCTTTGTTTTTTCTATTATGTGTTTGCCATTTTGTATATTCCCCTTTCACTGCTTTTCATTCTGGGTAGGTATTCTATTTCCCAGTATTGCATCATGTTTTATTTCACTGCATGCCTTTTTACTAACGTCAATTAATCATTGCATTTTGTAAAATGTAATGCGTATGTATATGCTGCTCGGCACTCGTTCGTGTTTCGTGAGAGTTACAAGCCGAAGTGTTCCCTACAATAATTGGTGATGCTGGCGTAGAAATTCAAATCTGATAACCGAACATATGCCTGGAGCTGTAGAGAATGCATGGGACTCGTTTGCATAGCTTGGCTTGTTAATTCTGACGGTGCAGAATAATCATCTCCCGCTTGTACTAAAAACTGTCCGCGACATTCATATGCGAGGCATTATGGGCATGAAGCTTCGGCCCGGCCTTTCCTGAAATACCGCGACGAGCACCCCTCACGCGTCACGTATGTACAGGTGCACTCCTATCACAACACATCGGCTCGGCTAATTATCCCCTTCATTTACAATGAATCTAATGTAACTGAGATGAAACGTAGACGAATGAGTCTCAAAGATGTCTTGGTTGCTCTCGAGTTATGAACGTTAACTTTACTGTCGTTGTGCCGTTATGGTCGTTTCGTTACCAGATGTTCTTGCCCGTCCAGTTATATAAAGGTCTATATATCAGATTGTCTAAATTACATATGAGTGGTTAACGCAATTGGTCATTCATCATATCCAAGTCTAGTCATCTGGTTATGATGCAATGTAGGTAGTCCTATGATTCATAAGTGCGCTCGCACTGTATGGCCGTGCATGATCGGTGCTGGGACTGACCGCCTGCCGGTCTATGGTGGCATGCTGCTGTCTGGTGGTTGGCTGCACTATACACACACTCTGTCTTTTTCTCTCCCCGATCCAGCCCAGGTGTAGGCCCGACGGGTGCCTCCATGCCGTTCACAGCCGCCGCAGCCACCAACCACTGACGGCCGACCGCGATCGGCTAGCCTGCCACCTGCCGGCGCCGTCGGCAACTACAACTGCCGGTCCCGGCCGCCTGGGAATGGTCAACAGAGGAGGATTGCGGCCAGATCTTGGTCGCTGACGAAGACACACTGGCGTGGAGGAGACGTCATGTGCGGTCAGAACTGAACTGGGTGACTGACCGAACCGCGCCGGTGCAGCATCGGCGGCCTTCGAGCGTTGGCGACAGAACTGTTGGCCACGTCAGTGCCAGACGGAAAACTGAGCCGTCGGTGGTGAATGGTTTAGGGTTGTCTCTGAGAGGAAGGACACGTGAGGTGTACTGTGAGTGCGTGCTGGTGAGGATTCCCGAGCTGGTTGAAGGGATCGCGAAGTACACCACCCTTTCCAAACGACGTGTGAGTGTGTTTTGATGCGGATGTTGTTAAAGTAATCCAGCGTGTGCAAGTGTTTAGGTCCATTCAGTGGCTGTTCGTATGTGTTGTTCGGCGTTCCGTGGCAGCACGAGAGGGATGGTTGTGCTTGTCTATGCACCCTGTAGCCCTGAGCTTGCAAGTGGTGTGCGGGCCGTGCCCGCCCGTACACCGCCTCCGAAACAGCACGGTGTTGTTCCCTGGGTTTGGAGCGTGATGGTAGCTGACTAGCCGCCGGGCATTCCCGTTCTTCCCTTGGCCTTTCCTCGATCTGGTGGTGTGGCATCTCAGAAAACTTAGTTTTAATGTTGCTCTCAGTGGTCCGTTGTAGAACGCCTTTTCCTTGTAACATGTTGATGGGTGTGAACATGTTAAGCACACAATATATACTTTGTCTTAACTAAATCGTGATGTTTTTGCTTTTGGAACGAATAGCGGTATCGATATTCGCCATGGTGCACGCCTGTTGACGCTTATTGTTATGTATTTAACGATCTTTACACTAAAATTAGTTGATATAGCGAACAACGGTCGGTCATGTGCTCAATAATAGCTTCACGAGCAGTCTCCATCCATTGGTGAACTGAAGGGAACAAGGGAGTGTTACGCGATTCCGCATCCAGTCGAGAGACTTTCAGTACTTGTACTGGATCTGAGGTGCTGTGCTGGTGGCATGACAGATCAGATGAGTCAGCTCTCATTTGCCCCAATGGCTCACTGCCATGACGCTCGTCGCTCAGCCTACCACAGCCCTACGGCAGTCGGCCAGGGTCGCTCACTGTCTGTAACCGTACTGTTCCAGAGCCCAGGGCAGGTGACGTTATTATCGCCAAACCTTTTGGTTTTCATACTCGCCGGTCAAAGGGGACGACCCCCATAGCCGTTTTGCCCCTGATGAAGCTAGAGCCTCGCGGAAAAAAACGAGCGTGGCTTGCGCCGTTACGAGACGCAGCGACTGGCTTCCGATTTAAGGTCTCAGGTCAACCGGTGACCTCTGAGGTCAGGTCAAATGGCGCAAGGCACGAGTTCGGTTTTTAACCCGCGCATGACTGGGGTATTTTCCATAACGCGAGTGACGAGGGGGGCTCTCCAGAGCCCCCCCCCTCCCCTCCTATCTCCGAAACTACTGGGCCGATCGTGAAAATTCAAACGGCGTCTGATAGCCCTGGAAAAACTGTCGAGCGAAATCTATTTTCATTGACCTCGAGGTCACCGATGACGTCACAGGTCAGGTCAAAGTAAAAATTATCGACATTTTTGCTAGTTCACAATTTAGGCTCTGACCGCCGGACCGCCGCACGATAGGACCGCGGCCGGAATTAGCGCGACATTGGTGGATTTGGCGACCTTTCCCAAATTGAGTTAAACTGTATCACGTAGTTCAGAAATGTCCATGGACCACGAATCTGCAAATATTTTTCGTCCATAGTGTACAGCGTCCGCGCCACATCAGCCCAAACACAAAGTTTTGTGCCAAGCATCGTAGACCCGTTTTCGTACGGAGAAAAATAGCAGCTAATGTAGGTAAAAAATATATCTATTAGACGGCTTTATCAATATTTTCGACGTCTAACCTGATAGTTTAGACCATGGGCTACACGATGGAAGAAAAAAACTCATAGCGGAATATATAAATACGCTTCAAATGTTAAGTTTTTTTGGTGCTTTAAAAATTGTGAGTTAATTTTACTGTTATAGATATTCTGGAATGCCGATATAAAAAGTCCCGCTAGGTCCCGCTGTTCTTTTATCAATATGGTGTTTACCAATCAATTGCTCTTCAGAAAATGTATAATTTAGCTGCGTCAGCCTGCAGCAGCGAAAATGAGGGGCATTTTTTACTCCAGGTCGCCGCGGCCGGGAGCCGCGAGTAACAGAACCTCAGGAACCGAACAAGGTTGCCAAGTGCCAACTATATTCAAGTTTTGTCCGGACCTATCCATACCTTCTATCGGAGTTTCTGATACACTTTTCTGACCCGTAATAAATTTGTTATATAGTCATGTAGGCCATCAGATTCCCATCTTCACGGTTTTGGTGGCTACATTATTTGCTTATCGGAATTTCCGGTGCCGTCATGACCTGGCCTGACAGGTGCTGCCGTCTTATCACGTGACCGAGCGGAGTCGGGGTCAGGGCAGGTCAACCGATTAATTAATCAATTAATTAATGAATTAATTAATGATTAATTAATTAAATTAATCAGAAATTGCTTAGAAAGTACACCGATTACCATTTTTATGATTCTACCATCCTTTTCATGTGAAAAGCGGGCACGAAATACGAAAAAGTACCGATGTCGCGCTAATTTTCGCTCCGGTCCCATTGTGCGCCGGTCCGATCAGGCTCATTTTTGGTTTACGCACTGAGCACTCCTTGACAGATGCCTTAGATACCCTGAGGGTACCGAACTTTAACTTCGAATTTTTAAGGTCAAGGCCAGGTCATCCTAGGTCACGAAAATTGTACATCATGTATCGGTCACGTGACGCATGTTTTATGGTCCATTTTACTCGTAGATTTCGAAAATAGTGTCGTCTGTGTCATTTGAGGTCATTGTCAGCTGAATTTACCGGAGGTCAGGTCACTTTCAGGTCAGAAAAGGTCAAATTTTTAAAATGAAATTTTTCAACAAAAAAGGTGCCTATCAGATGCAGTTTGAGCTCAGGAACACGATAGTGCCATTTATGTTGCTGTACGACGTCAAAAACGTACTGAAAAATGGATTTGAAAAAAAAAAACATAAAATTGTAAAATTGTGACAATAATGCGAATAACTTGGCTATTTTTGAAGATATTGGGCTAAAACTTGCAAAGGTAGTTCATCAGTGTGTGTTCTATCACAGCTATTGCGGTTTTTGCGAAAAGTCAAAAACTTTTTGAAAAAATCAAAAAATATATTTTTTGTAATTGTAAATACATATTTTTCAAAATTTTCAAAATTTTGAAAATTCGAGATAGCAGTTTGATAGCTACCTGTATTTGTAGTCCACTCATGCAAAGAAAATGGATCTAGCTTTAAAACTGAGCTCTTGAGAGCGTTTGCCGTAATTCAGTATTTTGCATGAAAATCGGTCGACATGACGTCACTCTGACGTCATTTCCGGCCAAACTATAGTAGCTAGAAAGTTGAAATTTTAACACAAGGTGTCAAATTGATGCCTCTGAGGGTACCGCAAGTTTCGTGTTGATCCGTCAAACGGTTTATAAAATATTGCTGAAAAACGGGAGGGGGCTCTGTAGAGCCCCCCCCCCCCCCCCAGTCATGCGCGGGTTAATAAATAGCTTCGCAAAAAAAAAACTGACGCAGAGCCGCGATTTTGGCATCGTCGTGTTCGACTCGCTCAAGCGCTTCGAATAGTATACTTTTTGTGACTTATAATAGTGAAGTCACGCGACCGACCTGGCCTCATGTGACCTTTAGAAAAATCCGAAATATACACGTTCTGAGACCTATAGAGGCTACTACGTCCTGTAAGTCTCATCCCCTGTGAAAGTTCCTTTGGCACTGAGGTCGATGTGAAGTTGCGACATCTGAAGGCCATGCAGAGGTTAACTTATGACGTCATAGGTCAGTGACCTATAGGCCATATAGGGCTAGTGACCCATGGGTCACAGGTCAGTCATAGATCAGGACAGTGAGTAGTGACATATGACGCCATAAGTAAACCTCTGCACGGCCCTCAGATGTCGCAACTTCGCAATACCCTCAGTGCCAGAGCAGCTTTTGCAGGGAGATGAAACTTACAGGACCTTGTATCCTCCAGAGGTCTCACAACTTGTATATCTATGAATTTTCCTAAAGGTCACGTGACATGGTCAGGTTAGTCACGTGACCTTTTCATTATAAGTCGATGGGGAAAAATGAAAACTGCTATTTGTGCCGGGAATGATCTCAAAATAGTTCAAGCACACGGAATCGTGATTTCATGCAATCCTTGCAAGGTCCGATGCTTCACTTTTGCATTGGTGACCTTGTGTGACGTCATTTATGACATTACTAGGGTCATATGATGATGTCAAATAGGATCCCAAGAGATTTTCGTTAATAACTCACGATCAAATTGAGCTAGCGAGCTGGGAAAGCCGCCAATGGACTCGGGAAGACCTGCCGAATAAAAAACGCGAGTTCACAGCTGAATTTAAACAGAATTCCCAAATAATGACAAAGCACAATGATACCGTGCATTTATGCCGCGCACCTATATAGTATATAGGTCGCTCACGGACGCTTATGTCGGGCACCTCTTCTGAGAAGAGTCGACTGCAGATGGGAGCTTTATATTGTTCGGTATTATTAGCTTGGCCATGCCACAAGGAATCGACTGATGTGTGATGCGAATATGTCAGATGAACAGCACAGAAGAAATTGACGTTTAGCTGAGTCAACTTCTTATTGGGACGCATTGTAGGTACTTTTGTTTCGTTTTTTTTTTTTTTTGTCATCCATGGCAATAAGGAGCACTTTTCTATAACAACCATAGTGATATATTTTGGCCCCGTTACGAGCAAAATTATCTCAATGGAATAACTTCCAGAGTTTGCTTTGCGAGTCAGTCTTCATTTGGCTAGAGCGCTCGAGCCATATCGAGACCGACGGCCCGCGGTCCGGTCCCCATCGCTCAGTATGTGAGTGGGCGGTCCTTCCGTTCGGTGGGGGCGCTGCCGGGCAGCGGTTGGTCGCTCTCCCCTCGCTCCCCTGCGCTCATTGGTGCGTGAGGAGACGGCGCGGCGACTGGCCTGGCCCCGCGGCGGTGTCGCTTCTCCACCGTCCTCTCCTGGGCGACCCAGCTGCCGTCAGAGGAGTCGAGACAGTCGAAGGAGTCGGACTACAGTCGCCATCGTCGCCAATATGAGCCCGAGCCCGCTGTTCCGTCCCTGGGACGGCCACACGAGTCTGACAGGAGTGAGGAGTCCGCGGCCCGCGGCGCCCGACACTCCTAACTCGGAGAGTTCACCAGCCAGTCCCAGGAGTGCACCGGCCAGCCCTGCGTCCATCGGGCTACCTGCCAGCCCCGTGAGTCTGCCCGCCAGTCCTGCCAGCCAGCCTGTCAGCGCTCTTGACAGTCTCACAGCTCGGTCTGCCAGTTCTCGTAGCAGCCCTGTCAACCTGTCTGCCAGCACTTCCAGCAGCCCTGTCGGTCTACCCGCCAGTCCTGTCAGTCTACCTGCCAGCCCCGTCGGTCTACCGGTCAGCCCTCACAGCCTGATCGATTGGCGGCTGTGCGGTGGGTCGGCTGGAGTCGAGCTGCCGCCTCTTCTGTGGCCGTCGGCACTGTCTGCTGGCTGTGACCCGTGGTCGGCCGCTGCTCTAGCTGAGGAGGAGCGCCGACGAGCCGACGCCACCAGACGACGTCTGAAGAAGTTTGGCTGTCCCAAGTGTCCGATGATGTTCTCCAACCGGG